CCTTGCGCGACTGCACAAAGCAGCAAACACAAACAACTGGAGTTTAACTTGATTTCCATTTTCCTGGGTAGAAAAAGAGCCACATTAAACTCATAACATAAATTTTTTAATGAGGTAATTAAACAGGATGAGAGTGGAAATTAACGAAGTCTGAAAGCTCACCTGTTCGGCTCGGGGACAAAACTGGACACTGTCTTTGTGTCACGGAGAATATCTACATAGCATTTCAATCCCTCACATGCATCTACATTTAAAGGAACAGTTCGACGTTTTGGGAAATACACTCTTTTTGCTGAGAGTGAGATGAGAAGATTGACACCACACATGCATATGTTTGTGTGTTGCAGCCAGGAGACAGTTAGCATAGCTTAGCATAAAGACAGGAAACAAGGGGAGCAGCCAGTCAGCCCAAAGGTGACTGCTCACAGCCAATAAATGGTTAAAATAGTTATTAAACAAGATACAACATGCTAATTAGTGAGTGCTAGAGCTAGGCTAGCTCTTTCCAGTCTAAGCATACAGAGAGAGAGAGTAGTATCAGTCTTCTCATTCAACTCTCAACAAGAAAGCAAAATGAGTGTTATTCCAACATTGTCAAACTATATACTTGCTGTGTAAAGTGCAAATTGGGTAGTTTTTTTCTAGCTGTAGTGGTTTAGGCTTTATTACTCTAAAATATTAATCAGAACCTCATTACTGAGCTAGAGCAAACACAAAATCCGAAAATTGGATCAAGTGGTGGTTGTCTGGGAGGGGAAACACAATCCAGTCTCCAGCTGTAACACAGTAGAATCTGGGCCGGTTAGAAAAAAGAAATCACAGCTCCTGTGGCTTAAAAAAAAATACTTTAATAGCGCTCACATCTCCTTAACCTGTTTCTTTCCATTTCCAACGGCTGCAGCTCGGTGTCGTTCTGAGGTAATGGAGAATAGGTTTCTGCAGCAGGGACAGGAATTGCACTGGCTGTTAGAAGAAAAGAGCTCCAAGGAACAAATACATCCTGATCAAAACACTGCAGGTCCAGGCTGCTGGCATTGTGACATCGCCTGCGACTGTTGCCAGCTTGTTGTGGTGTGCGAGGCTGAGGTGAGGACAGCCTCGGGCAGCTCTTTCCTCATCAGTTCACTGGTCTGCATTGAACAGAAATGGCTCTTTAGCAGCAGTCGCCGAGCTGCAGGCTGCACATATCAGACTGTCTCTGTGGATTGTAACGCTAACACTCATACCGCTGTCAGCTATTGTGCTAGGACTCTGCAATCAAGTATGAAGTATCAAGTAGGATTAAAGGCCGCTTAGTGAATGCGTCTGCCGTAACAGCAAACACACAGGTGGTGCATATGAAATGGATGAAGGTCCATGAATTTAGGGAGTTTAGTGTCTCAGTTTGGACGGGTGGTTTCCTGCTTCATTATGTAGTCCCGGCTTTAATGTGTCATTCTTCACTCAGTAGGACTACCTTTTGGACAAGGCAGTACACGTGTATTTACTACATTGAAACATATGTATGATACGTGACCCGACTCTTTGTATCTTATGCTATTGTACAAATAAAAGCTTCATGAAACATGAGGTTAAAGTGTGACGCTGTGTTTGTGGCCTCAGTACTGTACTGTAGTGTCATTTTTAGACACTTGTACACTTGATACTCGAGTATTTTCATTTTCTTCGACTTAAGACTTCTACTGCACCACATTTCAGATAGAAATTTTTACTCCACAACATTTATTTACACATATATATTTAGCTCCACCATATAAATGTACAGTCATGGTGGAGCTAAATAAAACCCAACTTCATGTTGGGTAGTTTATAATAATACATACTTAATAAACTTTATATATAAAGATGTATATCTCTTAAGTAACACATGTAACAAAGAGACCTATTTGCATAATGATAGTCTTTACTTTGTGCATTTATATTCACCGATCAGCCATAACATTAATAACCACAGTTAGAGTGAATAACACTGATTATCTTGATATTCCATTCAATTCAGTTTTATTTGCATAGCGCCAATTCATAACAAAAGTTAAGTCAAATAGAGCAGGTCTTGACCGTTCAAAGGGATCCTTGACCTCTGACCTCAAGATATCTGAATGAAAATGTGTTCTGTGGGTACCCCAGTGCTCAATAATCGCATGCAGCTGTTTGCATGTTGTATAAATGTTTTACTTTCACCTAGTGAATTTGAATATTTCTGCATACTGAGTCTATAAACAGCACTGGAACTGCAGTAATTGGGAATGACTGGAAAGCTGAGACACATACTTAATGCCACCCCAGTCAAAATAGTCTAGACACGCCCCTGCATTGGTTAGCTTGAACAGGTTTAAACTGTGATTTGTCATTCAATCGTGCTAACCATAGACCAAACTTCTATTTGGATTTTGAAGTTTTAACAAAAGCTTTGCTAAAGCCACAAGTCTGTTACTTCCAGCTTATTGGCATTATTGTGACACTGAAATAGGAACCTGTTCCTACTTAAATCTGCACACTTCCAATTTCTTTTCTAATCTTTCTTTATATTCTTATCGAACTGTTCATCTCTTTCTGCCTTTTCAGTAGCCATTGTTGAACCATTGTACAGGATTTAGTTCTCTGTACCAAACATTACATTCAAATACATACAGAGGACTCTTCTCAGGCATCTGTTCTGAATCAAGCTTTTGTGTCTGGTCACTCCAGACTTTTGAGCAGTCGTGTACGTAAATATTACACAATTTAATTTCATTGTGCTGCTACTTTCATACTTTAAATGGCGTATGATTTTGAATGCAGGACTTTTTATTCCTGTATTGGTATGTTTACTAGTAAACGATCTCAATCCTCGCTGTACTGTGGGTGCAACATCAGGCTTGAACATGGCACATATACTTCCTCTCTTTAAACAAACTGTGGTAATAATAGATGGTCCTAGAACTCGCTAATGAATTTATACCTCCATCACTTTTGTTCAGTGATCCACAGCTAATGATCTCGGTCTAACCTTGCAGTGTCATTGATCACAACAGAACTCAGTTCAGAGTAAAGTTCACCTGCCTCCCTGAAATTAATCACCAATACAAATATATCACACATTTGAAAAGAACAGGGGAGACATGTGGCATTTACAGGTCCTTTTTATTCCATTCCCATAACGTGACATTTCTCTGACATGGAACAGCTACAATGATAAGACATTTTCAACAATCTGCATTCAATCGATATTAAATGTCAGCAAAATGAAGTTACACAGATTAATTATTGGATAGGTTCAAGATCATTTTATACAGTTAATGAATCATTAATTTACTAAATTAAACCCGTCGACTTGTTACACATGTCAAATAATGGCTTGTTATTCAAAAAGCAAGACTAAGAAACAGCTACGACTCGAGTCCAACCGATCACAGGACAGAACTCGCTCACACAGACGGACGGAGCCACTGCTCAGATATCAGATGGAAAGCTGTGGATAGTGCACCCAAATCATTTAAGAGCTGAGCTGACTTTCCTTTGAGGAAAGAAAAAGTTGAGACTGTTGCAGTTTAAAGCTGCCCTGAACAAGCGGGAAAGACAAAGTGCTGTGAGGGTTGTACTTAAATAAACAGGGCTGCAGTGAGATGAAATACAAACACAGGCAGGATGGAAGTCAATCAGGACCCAACTTCACGCTCACAACACAAACTACAGTTTTTGTTGCTTCGTGTGAGCTGTACAGTACTTGTAGGAGGATAAATTAATCCCTTTTCTTTCCCTCTGCACACAAGCATGCAATAATGAAGTGGACAATTTCTCAAATCATCTGCCGTCCTCTTTCTCTAAACTGCGTAAGAGGACTTTCCTTTATATTCAAGCAATTTCCACAGACATGATTTTTTTTTTTACTGGGAAACGTCAGCAATCACTGTCCCAATAAATACAGAAGTGGTTCATTTACAGCTGGCTGAGTGTCAGTGGTCGTCTGTCAACATGGCGGGAGCGAGAAACCCGAGAGTTTTGTTTGTTTTCTAATATTTTCTGACCCAAAAGGAGAAGAAAAGAGGAGAAGAAATGGAGGCAGGAAAGTTTGGTGATTTATAACTCACTCATCATTCATCACCTCATTTTCCACCTTGCTCGCCCCAGCGTGTTCGCCACCTCATCTCCTCCTCCCTCCTCTCAGTTCTCTCCCAGTTTAAGCCGTGCGAACTCGTTGGCCATCTGTAGCGCCTCCTGCAGGCACTGCGTGTTCCTGCCCGTGGCCGACATGTCCTTGCCGCCTCCTTTGCCTCTCCAGCAGCGGGCACACCTCCTGGAACCCAACTCGCTGGCCTTTAGCCGGTTTGGCCAATCCTAAAGAGGAGGGGGGTAAGATGGGGCAGTGAACGGCTCGCAGCGCACTGTGGTGACGAGTGGAACGGGTGCCTACCTGTGGGACCCTGAACAGCAGGCAGGATTTTGCCGGCGTCGGCGGCTACGGTGAAGAGCATCCACGCCGGCTCTGGGGGATTGGACTTTCAGCAGCTCAGTGACTTCATCAGTGTCTGAGACGGACGGAGGAGAGAAGAAGTGAGGATGAATGTAAGGAGAGAGTAGGAAACAGAGGAGAAGAAAGAAAAAAAAAAAGTCTCCCAATCAGCTATCTATTATGCTCAAGCAGAATTAATGGCCACAAAGCTTGATTGTCCCATGGCAATGAACACAATGAGATAAGAGCTATGAAGCCAGCCTCGAGAAAAATTGCAATGCGCAGAGATAGACCTGAATGTTCAATCACCTGTTTGGCGTTTCAGGGTTATAGTGGTTTTTCAAGATGCTCGCATGAAGACTGCGGGGTGGGGGTGGTTGGAGGTAGATTACTGCTTGTATGTATGCAGTCGGTCTCGTTTAGCGAGGCTTGAAAAACTCCTGTATTGAGTCATCACCGTACAGAGGCTCCAGTCCCATCTACCATGAGAGCGCGTTGTTGGGGTTGCCTTCTGAATCACCTCCTGTTCTGCTCCAGACCCTCATCTGGATTCGGCCCTTATGTAGAGGGCCAGGTGCATCCGATGATTATTCTTCAGGCCCTTCATGTTTCCCCTGCATCTGTCCGTCCGCCACTTGCGAGATCCACGCTGATCCTATCGACTGCAGAGAGCGGACTGATTGTATAGGGATAACCTCGCATCGAGTTAAATCGAGGTCACGGATAATAAAGCTTTGCTTTACGAAGCAAGTAGGATGTGTGTGTTTGGCGCCACAGACAAGAAATAAAAGCTAGCTAGCAGTTCTGACGAATCAGGTAAGGACCTGTGCCCTTTGCTGCATGCACATGTGCTGTCTCTCCCTCTTCCTGCCTACTTTTCAGCGTTCCTACCAAATATAGGGGAAAGCCTCAAAAAATAATCTAAAAAAGACGAAAAGAAAAGCTATGTTTACTCATCATGTCTGCGATCTCTTCTGAATGTCCTATCGGGCCCGTCTAGTGCTTTCACCTATGTCTGCCCAAGTGCAGACAGAGCTTGTTGAGAGAATCAGCTTCCTCTGGGCCCTGTAGGATGTGAGACACAGGAGACAATGAGACGAGGACGGAGCGAAGAGCGGAGTAAGTGCAGGGACAGAAGCAGAAAGCAAAGTGGGGAGCAAGAACAAAAAGACACGGGCGGAGATCAAACAGGCACATGTTGTTAAAAATAGGTAAGAGAATAATATTGTCCTCCGGCTGGATAGTGGGAAAATGCAACTATGCTCTTTTGAGCTCCAGAGTCAACACAAGTCAAAAACAAGCTCATTAATTTTCATCGATGAGGAGCTGTTTTCTCACCAGGGACACAAATTAGAAAAGCATAGCCTTCTGTCTGGGACCGCATTGCAGGTATAATTAGCAGCCGTTTCTTGTAGTGGCAGAAAATTATTGACACTGGGTTGGCCAATCACCAAGCCGCCAATAAGTATTTATTTACATTTCAGACACGGAGATGCGACGTTCACGAATCTCTACATTTTATTAAAACTGGTGTTCTATATGGGGTGATGTGCGTATAGTGGAGCATAATGGCTGAAGCAAGGGGTGGTGTGTGTGTGTGTGTGTGTTGTGTGTGTGTGTGGGTTGTGGCGACCTTCTGGCCTCTGTGCCTGTCACAGCAATCAATCTGCGCGGGATGCCGCTAGCGATGCTCCTCTGAGACGATGACAATACGGCGCGCGGACCCGTAGTTCTGCAGATGGCTGCAATGAGAACAGAAACAACAGCCACTATTACCAACAGCTTTACACAACTGGTGGGTTTTGGGGGGGGGGGGAGCGGTGAGAAGGAGGAACACGAGCAGGAGAGAAAAACAGTACTAAACAACAACAGCAGGAACAAGGGATTCTTTGATGTTGTTTTAATCTGCAGCCACTTCAAAGACAACATCAGATTATTAAAGAGGAATATTTTAGAACCTGAAGCGGCATAAAATGGTGGGACATGCAATTAAAAAACAAGCCTCACAGTGTTTAAATCAACTTTATACAAAAACGCAGTTTGGATATCATTTCGACTCCGACAGTAATCAAATGAAATGAAAAGTCTCGCTATAATCTATGTCAGAGCGGGGACGTCTTGGCATTCAGGGGAATTTTACAGCCAGAAGCCAGACATTGTAAAAGTCAGTGGAGCAAGTCTAATCGCTGGATTGAGCTCCACAAAATGTTCCAGGCCTTCTCTGTACAGGGACACGGTCGCCTCGCCGTAAAGACCCACAAATCCAATTAATGGTTTCCACTTTACACACCGCCACTTGGCAGGTCTGACACATCGGAGGCACGGGTGGCTTCGAGCAGATGCAAACACTGAAGGGAAGGAGTTCTTGATACAGTTTTCTTTTTTTTTTAATATATAAGCTAAAGAAACATGTAAAAAAAGATCAAATGTGTAGTTAGTACATGTGGCTTTGTAGGGCAAAAAGGCTGAATAGTGACACTGCGATATCGAGGAAGCTACCGTATCTTTATTAAAATCTTTTCTGAATCATGGTTGCCTCTGCTTCAGACTGACAGCTAAGACTACAAACAGGAAATATTTCACTGGTGTTTTTTTTAACTTCCCTACATCCTGTCGCAACTGATATTTGGGTTGCATCCGCTGTAAGTAAGCAGAAATACACGAGAAATTTAAGAAAGCTTTAGACTCACGTTCCACCACAAAACTCAATGGAGGTGAGGGAACCAGCAGCACTGTCGGGGTCCTTCAGCAGGTCCTCAACGGGGATACCAATAGACACAACTCGGACAGGGTCGGGGTAGGTCTCATCGAACACGGCACGCAGACCCTGAATGGCCTTGGCTTGTGCTAGTGGGGCTTCCATGGCGTACACCGCCTGGAGAGAGCAAAGTAAAAAGCACCGTCAACTGATTTAATTGAATTACTACGAGATTTAGAAAAAAAGACACTAGAGATATTTACCATTTACTTTCTCATACAAAGGCTTATTTCTGTTACAGTTTCAGGGAGGTTGGAGGTCTAAGTAGTTGAGCTACATCAACATCATTCATATCTAAAGGCTTTTATCTAGTGTGTGACTATTTTATGTGTATTCCCCTACTGACCTTAGCGTCTCTTATCAAGGCACAAGCGATCTCCTCAGTCCGCCGGACCTCCCTCGTGCTCAGGGCACCTTTGGCAGTGAAGTCAAAGCGCAGGCGGTCGGCGGCGACCAGGGAGCCCCTCTGGTCTGCCTCCCCCAAAACTCCCCGCAGGGCGAAGTTTAAGATGTGTGTGGCAGTGTGGTTGCTCATGATGGGCTTACGACGAGCCTGTAGAGAGAATACAAACATTTGTCAGATAAACAGATCAGAGGGCAAAAAAACAGAGGTCAGAAACAGATCCTGAAAACGTGTCTGTTTAACTGACTGATAATGAACAATATCATGAATGACGTATCCTGCATATGTTCTCACCTCATCTACACGTAAGGTAACGTGGTCTCCAACCTTCAGCGTGCCGTAAACCGTCCCCACGTGGAGAACATAACCTCCTCGGACCTGCGTATTCTTCACTGTGAACTCCATCCTCTGCAAAGAAATATGAAAAAATGAAGAGACAGCATTGCTGAGATATTTTCTTGTTCAGCAGAAGTTAGTTATTTAGAAAGCTGGCTGACGCATTCTGTGTGCGTTTTGTTGAAGCATTTGGAGATTAAATATACATTTTTGGAAAGCTTTTGAAGTGCTTTAAGAAATGGTGTCGGATACGGATGAGAACATAAAGACTTATCAAAGCAGACGAGGTTCCTTCAGCATGCCTTCACATCCTCAGCAAAAATGATAATATTAGAAAAAATATATATCCAGACATACAAGACTGACACTTGAATGGATTTTTTTCGACAGATGTCTTCTGCAAACTGTGATATGAATGTGTTTTTATGCCATTCGTGTTCTCACTCATAAGAAAGATGAGAACAATTTATCATCTTTCATCTATTCTCCCATCAAAATGGTGATATGTCATTCGGCAGCCGTTGGCAGACTAGAAGGGGCTTTTTTTCCCCTCATTATTATTACCCACCAGTCTGTTATGACCTTGCTGTGTGTGTCTTAGAACGAAAGTATGCATGATGTGCACCAGGTGTGAGCATGTGTGTATGTTAATAGGTCTGTGCCGGCACGAGGGAGGCAATCAGGGCTCCCACTCTTTTTAACAAATCATTTTCCAGGACATTTTGCATTTCCATTTTCCGGCCACTCTGGCAACTACTGGCCGTACTGATGGTTGGTGTACTGTTAAGAGGTCATACGGACGGGCTGTCCCTTTTCTTAAGCTTGGGGTCTCCTGTTTACTCCTGTGATTGTAATTAGTTTTCTTTTATTTCTTCAGGTTATATCGGTGGCTTGCCGAGGTACAGTTGGTTTGGTTTGTTATTTTGGCCTTTGCCCACACTGAAGTATAAACTCAGCTCCAGTCACATTATCACACATTGTAAATAAACCCTTAAGTGGTAAAATCTCAGCAAACTGTGACTGCTTGGGACTTGGCCACCCCTAGAGGGATTAAACACCAACTGTGATTGATAGTGTAATTGCCCTTTCTCCCCAATTAAGAGTCAACAAAGGGTGATTTCACTGTAGCTTTGCCAAAAGCCTGGATTTTTATTTAACCTGCAATGTGACCACTATATAGTTCGGGGAAAAAGCAACAAACACACTGAAAATGACCCTAATGAGTTTTTTAATGCCTCAAACCTCATGGTGTTAATCTCAAACAGCATCAGTGGAGCTCGTTACAAACCACTGAGAAGCACATTCATCCACTTTTCATCATAGTATTTATTCACTTTCATCGCACTTACATCCTCTGTGCTTTCATCCTCTCGTAGCATGTAGCCCTCGTCAAACGTCTGTCCACCCTGCTCGGCGTAGAAGGTCGTCTGGTCCAGCAGCACACCGCACTCCTGACCCGTGGTCACCTCATCGCAGAAGTCACGGTCACGGCGCAGGGCCAGCACTGTGGCTGTGGCCTGCTCAAATTCTACACACGTAAACAGGCCGACGGTTAATGCATAAATATAGCCGACGAAGCTGAACTCAAGGTACAGTGTGATGTTTGAATGATGGTAGATGTATGTCAGACTCGTGACACTAGAAGGAGTTTTGGGGGGGCTACGAGCACGACTCCATAATGCCTGGGTCCAGGTATGCGAACTGTTATACAGTTGATGTAGAAGCCACGTGAAGCCTCCAGTGCACATACACTGAAACCGTGGGACTTCACGAGTGAAGTAGAGACAGCTTGTGTGCAGCAGCGAAACTTTAGATGAATGAGACAAATCCGTAGGTATATTATATATCATAGCAGTCTGGAATTTAATGAGGTAGCAGTAGAATTGCCCTTTTTAGGTTTAAATGTGTGATGAATCGCTATAGCTGTTTTTGCGAAAAAAACATATCAGACGTCACAGTACGTCGGCTCCAAGCAACATTTGTATTTATGGTCTTAGCTACGATGTCTGGCAGCGGGATCTTTACCAAACGTCTGATGGGTGGACTGTGAATCACGTAACCGTATTTTCCGGGGTCTCGGTCGACGTATAGTTTGTATTTGGGGAGTCGGTCTGTGGCGGGAGAGTATTTTTTGTTTTCGTCACTCTTCAATGGGTAGGATGTCAACATTATGGTGTCCGCGTCTCCTGCGCCCTTACCGCTGGGACTTGCAGCTCATCAAACAAACACGCAAACTTGTGCTGGTATTCAGTTATAAAGGGATGGAGAGCTAACAACTACTGAACGTTTATAACTACACACAGATTCCATTCGGTGGAGAAATTAATGAAACATTTAATTAGAAAAGTATTAGCAATTTAATTTTGCTAACAGGATAATGGGTGACATTTTTAAAACTTGGTAAGGTCAAAGTAAGGGCTACATATCTATTTAAGTCGTAAGTCTAAACCTGCACTGTGTAGATCCAACCAACAAAAATCAAAGCTTTCGGAGTTTCCGGGTTCCTTCATGAATTGGGCTTCTGTTTCGTAAAGTTATTTACAGCAGCAATACTCTAGCATACAGTGTTAGTATAATAAAAGTGTGCAATCACTGTACAGATCTGAGATACAATGTCAACACAACAGAGCCCTGGAGATATACTCCGTATGCGTTGTTAAGGTTGGGTTTGAATTACGTTCAAATATACTGTACCTGACGGTTGATGTAGCTTCAGACTAATTGGCCTCTGCTCCTCGTTTATTAGTTCTACATGTCTCTCTTCCGCTTCTCTCTCTCTCTTCTCTATCTAGACGTATTTTGCTTGCTCTGGCGTATGATACCTTTACCGAATCACATTCTGCCTCATACTTCTGCAATATATTCGGGTTACAGCCAAATACCTTTGATTCTCTTTGTGCGTTGTCTGATCTCTCTCTTACTCTCCACTTCTCTCGGTTCTTTACGACCTCTCGACTTGAGACTAGACTCTGCTTCTGCGTCTCTCCTACTCTCTTCCTCTCATCTCTCTCTCAATAAAAAAACCAGTGATCATTAAGCAATTACATCAAGGTTCTAACGAGATTAATACTTGCACCCGCGGCTGTTAATAAACAATGTTAGAGTTATATTGCCTTTGTCAGATTATTGATGCTCCTTTTTAATCTTATAAAATCTGAAGTTGGTATTCCGAATTATACATATTACTGAAGAGAAGGAAATGGATAAACCAAAGCATAGTGTGTCAAACTCAGATCCACGACGAGCTGGTAGGTTACTGGTGATAAGGTATATCGTAGCAGGCATTAGTTCACTGTGGATGTGTTGGAACAGCAGTTCTTGAACTTGTAGTTAAGGGCAAAAATGC